TCATTATTTGTAAATATTAGCCAAGGATTAGGAACAAGTGAATGGAGGAGCGCGCGCCGACCCTGAGCGCCGCATGGATAAAAGCGATTATTTGTTAACTTTAACCAGCTCTCCTGACAAAATTACTTGTCAGATCAAAATTTGCTAAAAGAAAAAGTTGTTCCTTTTAGCACAAAGTATAACGTCCTGTACTCCGAATGCGCCAATTCTGGGACACCCTGTATATTAATTAGAGCAGATAATAATAAAATTAAAACTGGCCTAAATTATTATAAAATAATATACAAAAAACATAATCTTTATTTTTTTTACTTACTACAGCTAACAAATTGTCATTATTTTCTAAATAGTCTTCTAATATCAAAATATCATTGCTTAATATTAATGGCAATTTTACTGGAAAATCTTCTGGTATAAATGTAGTCAATTGAGTATAATTTTTATTACGTATTGCTTTCATTATATCTTCATTTTGTTGTTTAATAGTCACTAGTAACTGCAATATTTTTTGTAGAAAAGCTAAAAACAAACAATTTTAATGCTTAAAATGGCTTATAAAAATGAAACGATATATATATATATATATATATATATATCGTTTAAAGGCATATTTTTATTATTTGAATTTTTGTCATTTGAATTATAATAACGAAAGCATGACATAAAAGCTGAATAATATATTAATACACTTATTTAATTGCAATTATTATTTAATTAAGAAAGATAGTAATTAATAACATTTTATTATATACATTTATTCAAATCATTAAATATGACTTAAAAATGACGACTAAAAGACAACATATTTATGACGATAATATATCGTCATAAATGACACATTTATTTTACGTCATTATTTAGTCCACTGACGTCAAATGACAAAAAATGACCTTATATTGACGTTATATTGACGACACCTTGCTACCTGGGATGTGATAATAATTATAATAATTTATTTTTCTGTAATATATTTAACGCATTATAATATTGTAAACATTTATTTCAAACTAAAAAATACGTTTTTTTATATATTTTTATATATTCTAAATAATTGATGTTTGTCGCGGAATCGCCGAAGTACCATCGCGACAAAAAAAATATGAGTCATCCGGCGACAGCTTCGCTGATCACTTGATCGTTAGGCCCAATTTGGCTTGTCATGATCACGTAACGATCATGATCATGCGGCGCTGCCAGCGAACGTTCACATTGGTTATGAGTCTTTCGAGAAAAGCCGTGGCGTGCTCTAATTTGAAAATCACTTCCAAAAACAGACACCGACACCCGACGGACGAATTCGTCAAAAAATCGTCAGTCAGTCGCTAACGAATTCTCGCGGCGTTCATCTCGATTGTAAATCGGCTCTCGTCGGAATTATCATTCCGCATAGATTGCAACCGGTTAGTCCAGTCGTTACGATCGCTCTCGTTGTTCGACCATCAAAGTTCGAGACTTTCTGCGCCGAGTCAAATTATCTTTGTTACAGCGTACTCGTGTAAACTCTGAATATTAGTTTTTCAAATCAATACGAATAGTAAATAAAGTATTTATTTCTGTGAAATTAAACGCGTGTAATTGTCCTAGTGAATCCGATCCGCGAATCCTTTTCTGCGTGAGATCTCGTTCGAGATCGAATCAGCGATTTCTCAATAATGTCAGAATAATGTTTATTTTTGTTAATATCATATTTATGTTAATTTATGCTAAAATAGATAAAATAATATGTATTATAATATTTATGTTAAAACATTATATTTGTAATAAATAATTACTATTGGTACGAATATAACAACTGATAGAATATAAATACTGTTGATAACAATATAGCATTTTTGTATAATGTATGTATGACGTTATATATATTTTAGAAATTTAAGAAAGTAAAATTAAATCATGCATTTATAAAATTAAATAACGCATAAACATGTAGTATTTAAGTCAACATATTAAATAAAAAAGAGAAATAAAATTTAGTTGCGGTACATTTGAAAATTTGATTTTTGAACAAATTTCCTATATTTCGTTACACTGTGCGCTGCCGGGGTATGCACTTCCGCCGCGCACGCATACACTCTAATGCACTCCCGAGATATCGACACGATGCGAAAACAATCTTACGATGATGGCAATCCCCAGGGGCTCGTCCCGAACGCGACCGCACTCTCCCGACGGCCTATGACACGCGGGGAGAAGGCCCCTCGTATTTGATATCGTCTGCACGCTTTTTACAAAGTCCGCTATGCGCCCTGCGCAACGAACGAAACCAACGCAAACACCAATGCGTACAGACGGCGACCCCAGAGCACGAGCGTAGCCCCCTCAGCGTGCTCGTGGCCTTACACAATCCTAACGCGCACTGGCAATCTCACCGGCTTCTACGACTCCCTGGTCCTCCGATAGCCTCAGTGTGGTCCTTCGCTCCGGGCCGAGAAAGGTAGAACGAAAAAAATGGCGCTCGCACGTGCCGTGAACATCCACCTCAGTTCAACGGCGGCAACGGAATCTCCCGGATCGCGATCGACAGCGCGATCGATGGGGCGTTCCCCTTAGGGGAGGTGCGCGCAAGAACGATACGCGGTGTCGCGGCCAATGAACTTCGGCCGCGCGACTTTGCATAGGCAACGCCGTGCGTAGTCAAATCCTGAGGTCCTTTGGCTCCCGAATTCGTGCAGATGTCAATAATTTTCGGTCCGCGGTGTTCCCTGCGATACCCGCGGCACCGTAGTGTGCGAAGGCCACCCCTGGCAGCTCCTCCGCGATGCAGATTATGGTCAGGCCCGGTCGCTGCCGGTCGACTTGATCCCGCGCCCCCATGTCGCGGGGCACTCGGCATAGTTGCGACGGTCTTTCCTGTCGCCTCGTCAAATCGCCAATTTGCCTCTCACATCCTTCGAATTCTCCCGGGCCTGTTGCTCTTCCGTGATGATCCAGCGACAGCTTCTCCTCTCGTCCTCCGGGCAGATTCGGTGAGGCGCCATAGATTACATGAAAATAAGTCAGGAATAAGTACGCGGTTTAATGCGACGTGAGACCCTCTGTAGATTTCGGTTTCTTTACTCCTTCCCGACCTTGAGCGCTCAAACGCACTTTGTGACGGGGGAGCAACGGTGCTCCTCTGCAACGGAGCGACCACTTCACAATATATATATATATATATATATATATGTAAGCGCCTAATTAAAGATCATGTAGGTCGCACCACCTATGAAAAATGGGCCATATTAATTAGACTAGTTGATCGACAGATTGAGCTGCGATCGCTGGGGGTCGAGCGTTGCGGGGTTCGAATATTGGAGCAGTGAGATTACGTTG